TAATTAAAATAATTGTAGCTTGAAAGTCGAATATTTGTATTTAGTTTGAGGTATTAAAAAATAGAATAAGAGTATAAGTTGAGGTTGAAAAAGTGTTACAAAAGTTGAATTCGAAATAAATTATTTTAAAATGTGTAACATTTATAATTCAATGTTTGATTGTCCCAATTAACTTCTCAGTTCAATATTAGAAAAAATTCAACAGCTTTTTACAAACGAAACTAAAATTTATCTAGAATTAGATGTTTTAAGAAGTTATTTTGGCCAGTTGAAATAAAAGCACGCCCAATATAATAATTATTTATTTTTATTAAAAAAGAAAAATGCAGATGAGATGTAATTAAGTTGACCATTGAAATCAATTTATAATAGGAATTTGCCTAGATATTACATGCCAAATTTAAGACCCTATTGTAATTTTTGCTTGCCTTCTTTGGTAAACATCTTCATAGGCTAACTCCTTTGGATCTTATAATGAATGGATCTAGGAAAGAATCCTTTACGTTCATAATGTTTAAAACAATGTACAAGAGTTGAAAGTATCCCTTAAAAATCTTCAGAATTAATTCTGTCCTAATTATAACTTTGATAATTGTTAAATACCTAAATTAGGATAATCATAGATTGAAATATTAAGAAAAGATTTAGGATCAATAGAAGAATGCAAAAAAATGCTATTTAGACAATTTAATTAATCAATTCAATTAGTAAAATAAATTGGTTTCGAAGTACTAAAAATATTAAAGAATCAAACTTATATAAAAATAATGATAAAACATAGATTCCATACAACAAAAAGTAGTTTCACATTTGCTTTTAATAAAGATTGCTCATTTGTATCAGCTGCCTGTAGGGATTCAATTAACATATATGAATTCAGTCAAGGAATGTTGAAATATATTCAACTCCTTAAATCAGCATTAGGTGAATGTGAACACTCTACATTTCATGAAAAATCCAATTAGCTTCTATCTGGAATTTAAATGGAGATATTTTGATTTGGACAAGCAATAATAATAATGAATCGATTTGCTCATAAGTACTTTAACAACACAATTCTCGTATAAATTGTTTAATTATTAATAATAATGAAGACATTACTATATCAAGTAGTACAGATAAGACTATTAAGTTTTGGACGAAACAAGATGAATGGATTGGTCGATTAGCAATAACAGACAATAAGGTTTAGGTTAATTTTCATTGATCAATTAATCTTAGTAATTGAGCATTCAGAACAATATAAATAGTGGATGGCAATATAAACAATTCAAGTTGATTGCGTAGGATTGAGATTATGTTTTATCAACAATAATCTTTTCACATTTCGAACTTTCAAAGCCAATTTGATGTACAAATTGAAATTTCAAAATTAAATCTCAGAATCAGATAACAACAAGATGAGATACTAAGTTTACAAAGTAACTAAAATATACATAATACTTAAATTATACTTGGATAAAGAGTAGTTGACTAAAACTAAACATATTGCTGTAAATCAAAGTGAGCAGGGTTTTATATTCTTCCCATAATAATATATTAAATCAAATGATTCACACTTAAGCAACGCGATAAGCATATCATTGAGTAAACTATTCAAATTGGTAGTAATATGTTATTTGGGTACATGAGCGATGATGGAGAGGATTTGATTCCCTGGGATGATTCGTCTTAAGAAATATCAATTAGGAAATCTATCCAGAATGAGGAATTTTAAAATATAAATTGAAATTCATTTATTATTAATATTATTAAATATGAAGATTATCATCATACAAAATTAATATAAGTCTGCGTAGAATTAACTGAATTTTAATATGATTTTTCTAAATTGAATCAACCTAATAATTGTCTAAATGAAATGAATTATTATTAGAATAATTTACAACAGGCTCTTCAGGTTTAGAACCTACGTATTAAATGGACTAATATGATATTTAAGTTATAACTGCATATCGACTTTTTTAGTCAACAACAAATTAGAGGAAGTTAAATTTGAGAACATATTTAACATTTGAGTAATAGCCATGTTTATGGATAAAAACTTTATTTATAGTAAACCAATTATGAGAATGTGCTTTTAAATCTTATCTAATTAGAAATGGAGGGACGATAAGTCTACTAGAATGATTTTCACCAATCGAACTATCCTTACTGGGCTAATAACAAATGCCCATACTCATTCAAATATATTGTGACATAATCCAGAACTCTGTTTTAAAATTTTACAAATCCTCTAGGGACTGCGCTAGTTTAACAATCCTCCTCAAGATGGGAAGCCGAAGTGAATAATTCAAAAACTCGAAAGTAAGTTGCAAAACCACATTTAAAATTGGATCTAAAATTTCTTAGTTAGTGGAAAGGATTATAAAGTTTAGAACTACTAATTTTAATTTTCAAGGTAGAATTCTTTATAATTTGGTTAAAGAAATACAATATTTATTTTGACTTTAGCTACAAGCTCACAGTTATGCATAAATAAATTTTGGAGGATTATAATTTATGATCATCCAAATATATGCAACTATAGTAAAAATTTTGGGCAATTTTTTGGAGTTTTCAAAAACAATGACATCCATTATGTGGCAATTAATACAACCCAATTTTAATATCCTATAAGCATATAACTTCACATTTTAATTTGTAACCCTATTCCTATCAACTCTGGGACTTCGATTTGCATAAATTAGGCTTATTACTCTCCATTTTATTATAATTGAGACAATTTTGAGGCATATAACATGTAAATTTTGCTTAAAGCACAGCATCATATTGTAGAACTAGGAAATTTATGTATTATATAATTATTTATAGAAATTCTAATCCTAGTTGGTCTCTAATTGCAAGTGATGAAAGTCCCAACTTTTGTTTTAAAGTGTGAAATTTAACATAAAAAACTTACAATATTAAATTTATACTGATGTTTCGTATTTCTTTATGAGACTCTTCATTGATTTTACAGTTCCTAATAATTTACATGAAATCTTTATTTTAGAGTTCTTAATTAGTAAGGACTTTTAAAAAGAGACTAATATATTGGTTTTGATATATTTTACAAAGCAGTATTCAGATAGTTTTATGTTCGGCAACCGCACAATTTCCTTAGGTATCAACAGAGAAATACTTGGTTTATTACCTATACAATTGATAATCCACATTATTCTTTAATTATTTATTTTGATACATTTTTTTTTGGATGTAATTTTAAAGCAGTTGAGGGTATTTAATTAAACATCAACAATAATTATATCTCAATATTCCCTACATTTTTATAACTTTTGAGTGTTTTAGATAGAAAAATATTGTGCTCTATCGGATTACCAAATATTATCTATTATTTAGTCCATTTTGTTAATACTGTTCAGATAAAATACTTGCACTTAATGGATATTATGATAATAAAATTATTAAATTAGATCCATTTCAGTGTTGTCCTTAATAATTTTCCGATAATTAATATTATAGATTCGCGAATTTTCCTTAAGAATGTTAAGCTTGTTTTGATGAATATGAATGTACATAGTGCACTTATCCATACAAACATATATGACGAAATGTACATCTATGCTTTCAACAAATTAAATGTTCAATATCTAAACTGAAATTATGTAAAAGTAAACAATAACAAATTTTAGACTGTAGTTTTAGACGTAAATAATGGAGAAATTAGAGAGATTTGCATATCCATTAAGAAGATTAACATTTCCTCATTTGTACCTAAATAAATGATTATATTATGATGGATATCATGATGATACAATTTGTCATGTCTTTTAATTCAATATTTTGGCATTTGGTAGTTTTTTTAGTTTAAATTTATTGATGTCTTAATTTTGTAATAAATTATGTAAAAATGTTTTGGATCATCTAATGATCATTGCACATAGTAAAAATTCCAGTAACAAATTATTGTTTAAATAAATTAGTTTAAATATATGGTTGATAAGCAAATTGATAATAGCTGATAAAGTTCAGAAAAAAGGTGATGCTTGTGATTGCCAAGAAGTATATTATTTTAACGATTCTGGTTTTAATTCCAATTTGTGCCATTAAAAATGTTATAACTTATTTCTCATCATTTGATAATTTATGGTTTGAATTGCAATTCAAATAAATACAGGAGATAATAAGGACTGTCATGAATTAGTTTATTGGGATACTATGAAAATAATGATATTTGTTAAGCATGCCCAACATCTATCTCAAGATATAAATTAAAAAAAAAATTTAAGTTTTTCAACAAATACATATATCTTTAGCTGAATATGATATATAGATTAGCAAGAAGATGTTTATGTATATCATTTTGTTATTTGAATTCGAAATCTCACTCTCTTCCTGCTTTAGCTGACTCTTTCAATGCCATCATGTCCATTCTAGGTCTATCTCAGTCCCTCAGGTAACAGGACAGGTCTAGGGGGCAGTTCCTCAGAACATGT